GACAACGCGGTTAAGGAGCGTATTCAATAGACGCATAGCTGTTGCGGTCGTGCACGCATCGTGGAGTTAATGTGAGAGGAAGTGCCGGTTGCATGTAGCCTGGGCTCCACTTGTGTCTGCACATGAGAACGAAAGGGTGCATGCACCTCCACGTTATCGCAGTTGTTCGAGCCGAGGCAACAACGACGCACACCCACTGCTTCTGCCGGCTGAAAAACGCATCTTTCGTCTGGGCTCACAGGCTTTCACAAATCGTGGCATCACTAAGTAGCCTCGTGCAAACAAACAAGAATGCAATATATAGTCTCTTCCACTAGGAGTAATAACTGAACTCCCCGTGGGCAGCGTGCATTCACTGCACTTACACATGAAAAACAGTATTCCATGTCTTCGCATAACACAGAAAAGGCACATGCACAAAGAACCAGCCGGAAGATTAAGCAACTGCATGACGGTGCACAACGGGAACAAACGCTAGCGGGAAATTCTAGCACCTGTTTCTTCAGAGTAGCTCCCAAATCCACCGCCCTTCAATTCCAACTTTTCCTCCGGGATGCAGGAAGCCGGTGAGGGCATCTGAACCCTAAGACCTTGGTATGAACGAGCATTTAGCTCCATGTTGCATGTATCTTCCGTCGCTATTCAGCGTCGGCGTTCATCTAACCCTTAGTGACCGCGCGGGAGCTGAGCACCATTGTAGTTTCTGATAAGTCAGAGACTCACCCCGAAAAGCTCAGCAGCGATAAGAAGCATTGCCCGCACCCTATGTCTACTGCAGCGAGTCTGGTTAGCCGTAAAACAGCAAACGGAAAACTGCTTATGCCAAACCGACCGGCAAACGGTACCGTATGCAGAGACGAACCTTGCCTTCCGACCACCTGTAATAGGCACTCAGTATAAATTAAGTAGAGTCTGCAAAGCATCATCTTTGGTGCTCCTACGACGAATAGGTTTAATAGGCATCCACTGAAATTTACCCAAGCAACAATGCCAAGCAACCCATATCTAATCCTTCTATGACGACCACTTTTGGTGGGTATTCAATGCAAATTGAATAAAAGAATAGCCGGCGGCACGTCAACCCAAGATTAGTATCCCTATAAGAACTTTCAACATGTGCTGAGAGAACAACTCTTGGGTTTCTATCTGTAAAAGCTCAGTGGCAGCAGGCAGTGACACAGAACATGCTATTACCACTGTCGTGAGAAGGATGCAATGCCGCAACAAAAACAAATGGCAACCCAAGACATCCATTAAAGGCTTCCGTCAAGGCAGTCACCAATAGCCCGCTCCCCTTCTTATTAAGATACCCGAGAGAAGTGAACAGCGGAGGAGAAGCGGAAGAAGCAATGACACACCAAAAATGGCACGTTGATGCAGCACATGCACGTCAGCAAGTTAAATGGCCCTAAAACAACACAGGAACAGCCTGCAGTCAAATTGATCACTGGTTGTACTGCTTTGTGAAACTCCAATATATGCTGGTTTTCATACATTTTCCTGATGAAGACGTGCATTGATTTGGGGACGTCGTCTGGCCCCGGTTGCTAAGTAGCCTCCCACCCGTACTCTTGTCCACAGCGATGCACGCCATTTAGCTTAGAAATGTGAGTCTTACTTTTTTTCTTTGCTTCAAATAGTAAAACAAGAGAAATAAGGCCACTGTGGCTCCCAAAAAAAGGACGATCTTGAGCTCTCGATCTGATTGTCGAAGTTGGGACCTTATCGGGGGCAAGTCTTGTAGTGGATTTTCGCCTTGTACAGGGGAGCCAACAGGATACAGAGCTCCAGTGTATGCTCCCATGGGTATGATGCCATCCGGAACTGCTGACCTCCTTAAGGAAGTATCGCCGCCTCGCCAAGGTGCAGCGACATCAGGACGCACAACCTCCACATATTGGGGATCCTGAAGGTTTCCAGCTGCAGTAGCATACTCAGAAATGGAGGCAAGCAATGGCAAAAATATCCCGAGCAGCAATTGCATTGTCTCCGATGCAAGCTTCCAACCACGAGTGTCCTTCCGCAGCAACTGGACACTCGATTGCGCCACACCAACCAATTGACAACCCTCCAAATCAATATGTTTCTCAAAAATTGACCAGGCGTTTACGACTCTTTTTTTTCGGGCGTTGGGTGGAGCCAACCGCAACGAACGCTGGTCTACGATCCCAGAGAAGGTCAGAAAGAATCAGCTTTAACTCCTGCTGAAAAACTCAACGACTCTCCAGCTGCAGAGAGCAAATCTTGTCAATGTAATTCTAGGAAAAACTTGTTCTTTTAAAGAATTGGCATCAACCTGTCGAGAGCTGATGTCTCAGCCGTTGTCTTCGTCCTGGCCGGTGGGCACATCCGTGGAGTCGGCGCTCAACAGTTCAAGCCTACTCACGTTAGCAATATACGATTTGACCCACACCTACGCGGGCAAATTTAAGATAAATATATGGTAAGTCTATAAGTAGCAATATTCTGTATTCATCGCTGGGAGATTTGCATCGTTGTCAAACCCCCAAGGGGCTCCGACACCCCGAATAAGGAATGGCAACGGCGTAAACCTAGTAGACCGCTTTCGTGCCTGCTCCAACTGAAACAGAAAGGCCTATTTGGCTTCCTCAAAAGTGGTTTAGAGTACCCTGGGGGAACCTGGTCATGAAGAAAACAATTTCGGCTTGCGGTGGTTACGTGGACCTGTAAGAGGTCCCTTCATTGCTGCCCGACGACTGTCGTGAGCTACGAGAGTCGAAACACCATAGAACAAGCAAAAATCCTATGAATAGACCTTCAATTTTGAGGCTTCCTGAGAGAGGCTGTGCAAATTGCAGTTGAGTTTCAGGTTTTCAGCCGGGCTGCCCTGAGATGAAAGCACTCCCTGCTGCATCTTCTCCTGCACGGCAACCCGTCACGTGAAGATGCCTAAGCTTCATCTTTATTCATGCGGTAAGATTGACGACAATTGCCAACCTCCCACTTTAACCTTTGTAGCAAGCCGCTGCCCAAGTATACGTATGTAGACGGACCATGCTATACTTTGCAACCACGAATGTAACAATGTTACGAATATCCATGCATATTCCAAGGTCAGAACAAGTCCCTATTTATCAAGCTATGCAGAGTTCTAAGCGTCGGAACACAACGGCACGGCAAATTGACGGTGTGAAGACTCCTGGAACTTTGCCGTGGACGGGTGTGGGTTGCAAAAGTCAAACTATTCAAGAGTTCCCGCAATACAGCTGACCTCCCACACTGGATCCAGATTTCCTGAGCACAGCGGCATAAGGGTCGGTGGCCAACACGAGGAGAGGCTGCCTCACAGGTGTTTTAGCTCACCTTGCTGCAACTGGTGCTGCAAGACGACCGTGCATGCAAGCCCAAGAAGTCCTCCACTTGCTGCATGCGTCAACACTGCAGGCAATTGTTAAGTACTCGTTTGGTAATAGGACATTAACCTGCACAAAAGATGGAATGAATGTACTGATTGCAGATAGATTAAGCTACTGGGTGTTGATGCCTGGAAGGCTGAAGTAGTTTATTGTCCTCCACATATCGCCTTCAACAGTTATACCTTTCCGTTGCTTGAAAGCTTATTTACCTGAGCTCTCCTCCAACGTAGCACAAGACGAAGGTGGTTGCATTGTCAAGAGTGGAACGGGCACGCAGAGGATGCCTAATACGCACGCTGGAGCCGTGGTCCGTGAAATATTCAGAGATATTGCCACCGAGGCATCGCTCCACTGCTTAGAAATATTCAAGACGAAATTCGCAGGCCGGCATGAATAGGTCAAGACCCGCAGCCGAGGTGTGTATCAAGATACGCTGCTGGTATTTAGATAGGTACGTTCGAAGCATCGCATCGATTCCCAGTATGTTATAGTTGGCTGTTGAAATGTTGCTTTGAAAATACCATGCCGCACAAAGAAATAGAAGAGAGAACAAAAGTTCGAAAGGTTTCTCCTACAGTAAAGTGAAGAAAGCCGTAACTGGCCCCTATTGCTAGCCAGGCTAGCCTCACCCGACAGTCATTGAAGAAAATACGTTGCACAGAGCGTTGGCTTGCTGTCTAGGCGAGTTTGCAATATTCCAACGGGTTCGTCAAAGGGGCTTAGTGTACTATGTTTAAATGCATATGATCTGCAGCAATTGTTTTCTGTTGTCTCCTTCATGAAGGCGTCACTTGGTGTAACGCTGTGCTCATCCGGGTGTCACGAATTGACAAATGGTGACTATAATACAGCTTGACTTCCCCCAAAGCTGAGCAAGTTCGCAGGTCTGTAAAATGTACTTATTTTTTACATGTGGAGCAGATGAGCGAAGACAACGCACCGTTCCAATGATCAGTGCATTTGCGAAACTGCCCGTTGACTCACGGGCAGCCGTAGTTATTTTTCCCATTCCCTTCCGGCTTGTTGATCCCACAAACACAGAAGGTCACTATCAGTCTCTACTGGGCTCCATTTTAACTGCATATATCTGATCTGGTTTACCCCGGATACAATTTCAGCGCAAACCTGCCCGGGTGCCGTTTTCACAGTGTGAGCTGCACAGATACGCTTCGCCCTCCCACCGTCTAAGCTCATGACTATGCTCCCTCGAGGGGTTTACTATTGTATTAGCACCTATCTGTGGAGACAGAAGCTAGCCAGTTAGCCTGATAAATTCGAAGGTTCGGCGCCTTTATGAGTGAAGCCTAATCACTGGTTCCTGCCCGCCCTTGCGAAATGATCATCTGGTGTCTGTGGGAGGTGATAGCCGACGACGCGGGTAATGCGCTGTACAGAGCTGTACAGTGCATCCGTGGTAGGCGCTGATGTTGATGCGCTCACTCCACAAAGGAGGAAATCCATCTTGTGGTGACTATCTAATACGGACAGGCCCCTGTTGAAAAACCCTCTTGAATTGCTCCCTGCTGCTGGCGTCAACGTGTGAGGCTTGAGACTTTCCTGGCAACGGCTCCCCCTTTAGTAAAAGTTTGCCGTTCAACATCAGGTTTATGCTGCCTCGTCGCTTTAGGAAGTATTTGGGAGATCAGGGTGTTCGAAGAATCCTTCCTCGCCTGCACCTTCTTCCGAGGGTTGCCGCAGCTGCTGTTGCTGCTGTTTCGATGAAACTACCTCTGTGCCGCTGCAGTACAAACACCAGCAAGAAGCACAACACAAGAACCTCCGAAGTGAACTGATATTCTACAACGGAAGGGCTGGGCTGGTTTTTGCAAGAACATATGACGCGAAAGGCTCTTCGTTCACGGAAGTCTGTAGTGCCCTCTGCCAATCAGCCCACTCGATAGAGAGCTTTTCCTGATCCAGAAGCTTCGCAGCTTTCGGAGCGTACAAGGAAATCACGCGGAAACTGAGATGCTGTGAAGCCACTCGACACCTGCGCAGTCCCCCAGGCACAGAAGATGCTGCCTCGAATACCCCAATTCGCTGCCCTCCCTTAGCAGAGTCTGCTGAGGTGCGCCGCCGATAGCTACTTTCGGGAAGCCACCGCTCCGCGCTAGTAATTCATTCGGTGACCCTAAACCCTAGACTACTGGGGAGAACTTTAAAGCCAAATCCTAAAACCTAACCGTAAACTTAAACCCGGAAACCAAAACCTGAGCTTGATCCTCATAAAGGGAGACCTACTTCGGGCACCCATCGGGAAGTTGGTTGTTGAGAGTTGGAATGGGCTTGTGTCCACAGCCACCGCACTGAACAAAACGCTTTGTCGCCTTCCGCGGCTGCTGCTGGTGGTTGCGAGCAACACAGGCAGCATTCAGCCTGTCAGTGTACCTCTCGCACTGAGTCACACAGCCACAAACCCTAAACTCTAAACTCTAAAACCTTAAACCCTTAACTCCTAACCCAACTCCACTGCAAAAGCAGGGATCGAGGGGACGCAAAGGGGTAAGAACGCTACCTGCAAACAGTAAAACGCGGAAATAATGGTTTCCTTGATGGACTGCTTAAATTCATGTTTGATATCCGAGGCTTCCAGGGAACGCAGACGCTCCAGATGGCGCTGGCCGTCTTCCTGACAACAGCCCGCAAACCCTAAACCGTAAACACTCCCATGCAGAGTATATAGGTTGGTTCCTTGACATACGCCTCCCACTAAGCCTCATACTTGTACTGGCTCGTAGAAAATGTGAAGAAGGCGCTGCACTAGCTAGAGAATAAGCTTTAGCGACATCCACAGCAACAGCACCCGCACCAGTGGGAATGACTTGCCTCGTCAACAATATCTGCAACGGAGGACTTGAGTTGGAGCATTTTCTCCAGGATTTCTCTCTTCTCTGCCTCGGTTGCTGCAGGCCCGGCAGCAGCAGCAGAGCCAGTGGGGGTGGATGCAGCTGCACGCTGCATTTTTGCTGCTTTCAAATTTTGTTGTTGTTCCTTGGCAAGTCGTTTCTGCTGTCTCTCCTCTGACCGCTGCAAGGCCTCTCCAGCCTTTTGTGTTTGCTTCAGAGCACTTAGGGTTGAAGAAACAAGCTTTGGCTTCTTCAACTCCCGAAGCGCCCGCCGCACATCTGCTGCGGAGTCCAAAGGGGGGGGTTGCGGCACCTGCCGCTGGTCAGAACCAGCTTCGGCTGCTGCTGCTGCCTCTGCTGGTGGCACTGCTACAGGTGACCCTGCTTTATCAGTTGCTAGGCTTGCGCCGCGTGCTTTTGGTTCTGCAGCTGCTGCGCCGGCTGCTGCCTGTCCCGCCACTGCAGCAGCACGGTGTTGTTGTTGGTGCTGTGGCGGCTTCTGGACACCTCGCGGTGTAACAGTAGCGATATGATGGAGATAGCGGTAGTTCTTGAAAGCCAACAGCGCTATCTCCTGCAGACAAAGCAGCAGAAGATGCACCAGCTGCAGTAGTAGCACCAACAGCGTCAGGGAGGCTGCTGAGTGTCTGCACCAGTGCAGCGCCAGACAGAAGGAAGGCCTCACGGCATTAGGGTGTAGGAACAGCCGCGTGTGGAGATCCTTGGCCTGCTGTGCCAAGTGCGGCGTGCTGTCGAAACGCATGCGTTTGGTGAGAGACAGTTGAATAGCCAAAGCCATGTCTCTGCTGCTGCTCTGTAGACACACCACACCCTGTACAGCACCCGTTCCGCTTGCTCGATGCGGAAACCAGCAGCAGCAGCAGCACAAACAGCAGCAGCACAAAAAACACCAACACAGCAACCACACAAGCATCAGCACGATACGCAATAGCACTCGGGTGTACGGACAGATGGAAGCTCCACAATTTCCCGCAATTTTCGCACAAACGCCTCCGCCGCCTGCTTGTCTCTATCCGCTGGGCTGCTGCTGCTGCTGTTGCTGCACATGACGGGGGATATGGTGCTGTTAGAAGATTGGGTGCAGCTGCCGTTGCTGCTGGTAGTGCTACTAGTGCTGCTGCTGTTGCCGTTGCTGTTTTTTCTGCTGCTGCTGTTGCTGCTTTTGTTTCCGCTGCTGTTGCTGCTGTTCCGCGCAGAGCTTCCTGTAGGTGTGGAGGTAACCTTGCTGCTGCTTGTTAGGCTATCATTTCCGTTCACAGGTGGTGGAGTACTTCTGGAAGTTTGGTGGAGCAGTATGCTTCGCTGAAGCAACTCTGTAGCAGGGGCAGCACCATAGGGAGTAGCAACAGTGAGTAGGCCCGCAATATCAGCACTCGACAGTATGGCAATGACGGCTATCGGGAGTAGCAGGAGGCCTAACATACTGCTCATCGTTTGCTGCTTTGCATGCAGATGTTGCTGTGGTATATTCTCTTTTTGTTGCTGCTGTTGTATATTCTCCTTTTGCTTATGCGCTTGCTGGCTGGTGTCTCCATGTGCGGGACCAACTGCAGCAGCAGAAGCAGCAGCAGCTGCTGCAGCCGAAGCAGCGGAGGACGGGGCAAGTGTGTTTAGGATCGCTGCGCGTCGGTCCTTGTCTGAACTGTCTAGCAGCTCGTTAATGGAATCTGCAACCGATGTTGCATGCCCTCCCTTTGCCTTCTGATGATCCTTCGTATTCACGTGGAAACGGCAGTACTCCCCCATGCTCGGCCTGCAGCAGCAACAGCAGCAGCACAGAAACACAAACAGCAAAGGCCGCAGCAGTGAGAGCAGCAGCAACGCCCGCAGAAGATGCAGAGAATGCAAGGAAGGCAGGAACAACGACAACAGCATTAGCAGGAAAGCTTGTGACAGCGGCATCAGCAGAAGCAGCAGCAACAGCAGCTGCACCAACAGTGCGCCTCCTTACAGATGGACCATTTGGCGGCACTGCACCTGCCTTCGGGTCATGGCGCTGCAGCGCACTATCCCCTTGACCGTCCCAAGCTGCAGCACCCACAGTCCAAACCCTACACCCATTACCCTAAACCCTCACCAGGCCCTCGAGATGCCTTAACCAAGCCATCACGATATTTGCATTCCTCCAAAGATAATGCAAATAGCGTGGCACCACAAGTGCAAGACACTGGCGAGGATTTAGGGGCTAGGGTTTGGACTTGTAGGATTTGGTCTTCATCCTCGACAGCTGCCGCTCGCGAGTCCCCGCGTTCTGACTTAGGGAGAAGAGAAGGATTAAGAACTGCAATGAGGTCTCCTCTTTTGAATTCTTTCTTCCTGAGCACTCCCCAAACCATACCTCCTTAGCCATTTACCCTAAACCCCAAGCCACAATTTTTAGCTAAGCACGACCCTTCGTACCCGCTCGCAAACCTCCAACCCACACTTTTCAAACCCTACCCTTTACACACTAGGCCGCATACTACTATAGCCTAAACCCTACACGCTTACCTCAGGCTGCTCCACAGCCCTTCCCCACGAAACGTCAGAAGCAAGTTCGTCTCCCTGTGCAGGCAGCAGCACCAATGGAAACCCCATCCCTAAACCCTTCAAGAAAGTAGCTGTACTGATAACCACTGGAAGCAGCAGCAGCAATAGCAGCAGCAGAAAAGGACACTCACTTTGTGTCCCACAGGACCCACCACCATTTCATTTCGCCTGCAGATGCATCCCCACATACACACGAAACATTAGCCCTAAACCCCAGACCCCAAGTCCTAAACCCTAAACTCTAGACCCTAGCATTGGGGGGCAGGACAACATCATTTGAGGGTTTACTGGCGACTCCGCGTGGATCCGAGATAGAAGAAATCACTGCAACAATTACTGCATGCGCTGCTGCTCCCTTGGCTGCATCAAAAGCCGCTTGGGTCATCTGGTGTACGTACACCGCAAAGGAGGAACAAGAACAGCGTAGCCTGCAACCCTCCCCTACACGGGCACGTTAGCTCCCTATCTAGGATTTATATACAAGTTCCTGTCTAGGGCTTAGAGTTTAAACCTTTAACTTGCAAGGGTTTCAACCTACGAAGCTGCACGCCTTCTGTAGCGAAACGATCTTCAGCTCAGGCCGCTGTAAACGGGTCGCAGCGTCTTGGTAGGGCATGGACCACTTCCTGAACTCGCAAACCCTAAACCCTAAACCTCAAATATAAGCCTATTTGATCTAGATCCAAACCCTTTTCTTTCTGTATTGGGGTAATGCGGGCGGCCTTAAGCAATCAGGCGGTAACTGCGAGGAGAATGCCCCTGCGTTTTAGGGATTAAGGTCTAGGGTTTGGGGTTTGACTGTGACGGCTAACTCCATTTCGAGCTCCTTGCCGTCTAAAACGACGCAGTCGCTCTTGACTTTGAGTGTAGGGGTTGTAGCGGCTGCGGGAGCACACAAGCATTGCGAAGCCGAACACTAAACCCTAAACTCTAGACCCCAACAGCCCCCGTTGCAACGAGAAATGGCCTCTATCATAAGGAAGCTATACGCCCTGAGGGTTTGCGAGCTCACACGCCATCTTGGAGAAGCGAATGCTAAGAAATCGTAAACCCTACACCTCAAACCCTTACCCCTCACAGCCCAGCCGACGCCAGCAGAGCTGGCTAAGGTTTGAGGGGGGGTTGTTCAAAGCATTTGCTGTTGCTTGCTGCTTAGAGCGGCAGGAAGGTCAGGAGAATCCGCGATAAGAGGAGCAACCAGAAATCACTGGGGTGGTGTTGTGGTGGGGTTGTTCCTAGTGGAGAAGGAACCAAGCGTGTATGCGATCGATCTTATAGAAAATAAGCCAATAAAGCAGACAAAATACAACAAATATGCAAGGACCCCCTGATTCCGTGGTGTACGGACAATTCAAAGTCAAAAGCCACAAGGGGTGGTTACCGGGCTTTGGGGGCCCCCATCGAAACCCGCAAGTTCTGCGCAGATTTGCAGCAGCCAATTGGAAAAACGCAACAAAATGTAGAAATCAAATTCAAAATGGGTTTTTCTACATCCCTATAGGCAACACAAGGGATGTAAGTGTTTGGCTTGCCATACCTGCAGCTGCATTGTCCATAGATACACCTGTGAGCTGCATACTCCTCGGAACTCGACGAAATATAGCTCCCTTTCACCCCTTTTTAATTATTCCAAATTTCGTTTCTTTATTTTTTTAATTTACTAACTGAAGCACTCCAGCAGCTCAGGGGCCCCCAGAGACTGTCTACTCCCCCTTCCACTTCCCGTTTTTTCTTTGTCTGTTCGAGGCGTTGCTGCACAGACAGGAGAACTGCAGCACTAAAATTATCTCAGGTGTACATGCAATGACATAGAGCCAGGGGTTTGACTGTAGGGGCAACTTAACCATATCCCTAAACCCGCCTGAGCTGCACTCCTGAGGGTGTAGGGTTTAGGGTTTGTGATTCAAGCTGTAGTCGCGGAAGGGAAGGGCACTACAAAGAAAGCCACAAGAATTATCTGCATACAGCTTTCCGACTGGGGCCTCCTTTTAGATGGAGACTTTGAACTTGATCTGCAAACCTTAAACACTAAACCGTCAAGATGGAGCCCTTAATAGGCGGGCCCACCTCGCCCTTCCGCTTGGGCAACACCCGTGAGCTTTCTCTCCTCAAGCCATAATGATGCAGCTTTAGCAGGTTCCTATGATTAGACTGTAAGTTTTTCAGGGTTTATGCTTTACGGTTTAGGGTTGAGGGTTTGCGGTTTGCTGTCTCTTCTTTGTTTTGCAGCTGGTACTGCAACGCATCTACTGGATACGCAGCAGCCGCGGGAACAGAGTGATTTCTCCTTTTACAAGACTGTAAACCCGGGTAAGTTTGCTTGTTACGGTCCTACGCTTTACGGTTTCGCGTTTAGGGTTTAGGGTTTAGGGTTAATGGTTTAGGGTTTAGGGTTTGTAAGGGTTTTCAGCCGACAAAAACCTGCACAGCACCTACAGGAGAGGCAAGAGGAGCGCTGAAGCCACAAAGCTTAAGACGCTGCAATCTCAGGACAGCTTTAAACGGGATGCTCTTAGAACAATTACCAGGTAAACCCTAAACCACCGCTAAACCCTAAGCACTGATAGAGCGGAGGTGTGTGGCATCAACAACAAGACAGCGTAAGACAACTTTATCCCTAGGGTTTAGGGCTAGTGTTTAATATATCTATCTCTGGGGGGTTTACTTTAGGTGACTATCAACCACTACTAGGGTTTCGTTATTAGGGTTTAGGGTTTAGGGTTTGTATGCAGGTTTCTGTCATTTTCCGAGTTTCCGGGTCCTTTATCGGCTAAGGCGCTGAGCAGCCCTCAGCGATCTCTGCTAATAGATATATGGGGTCATCTATTCAGGTAGCTAAACCCTAAACCATAAGCCCTAGTCTGTAGGGGTTTTCTCTCGCGCCCACATCACACAGCCCCTTTAAGAGTTAGGGTTTAGGGTTTATGCCGAAGACTCAGAATAGAGAACTGCAGCATACCCAACATAAAGGAGGAAGAAGAAAAGAGACAGTTGCATGCTTTTATTTTTTCTATTCTTTTCTTTATTGTTTTAGGCGTTGCTTTGATGAATCTGTAAAAATAACTGCAGAAAATGTTAACGATGAAGTCCCTAAACTCTTCAAGGAAATCGGGTACCTAACAGCCCTAGGGTTTAGGGTTTAGGGTTTAGGGTTTACTTTGAAGTGGATGAAGGCTGCATCTTGTTGTTGCTACTTCTGTCGCTGCTGTTGGTGCTGTTGCTTTTGCTACTGCTACTTCATCTGCTGTATATCTGCTATATATATATATATATATATA